TTGTTTGTGAAAACATAGCTTTATGTGTTCTCTTTTAACTTCTGAAAACCGCAAGTTTCTATCATTTGTCATCTTTGAGTTATTCGAAAAACAACCGAGTGCCTTGTATTTTGGCGCCGATAGTAGTTTGGCGACTGATTTTTGGAAAATCAAATCTTTCGTTGAAAATCTTGTTTTTGATAGAATCCTTGTCTTGACCATGTCGGTTGTAGAGGGTGAAGATATCCCAATTATGTATCGCCCTCATCCTTTAGTGTGAAACCATTTTCAAGACTATCAAACCAATTTAAACGAAGTCAGAAATGATTTTTAGATAAAAATACAAAAAAAGGACGGAATGAGAAACTCTTTCTCATTCGCTCTTTCTCATCTCACAACTCATTCGATAGTCGAGAAACAAATATTTTTGTAGAAAATTTCTGAATATTCCAGCACTATGCTTGCTCTCATAAAGTTCAACTAGTGAAAAAACTGGCCGGTTTACACAATTTCTATCAACGGGCAAAAACTGATCGGTTGAACCATTTCAAAAGGTTCGATTACAACCCTGATACCCGGCGTCTGATTACCACAGAAGCTGTTTAACCGACCTTCAAGAAATGAAAAACTGACTATGTGGGCATGAACCATGAACATTTTGATGAATAATGCGGCAAAACGCGACTTAAAGGACTAAATTGTTGCTAAGATATTTCAATTCCAAAGTTCTTTTGAAGATAAAAAACGTGATGATTTTCAGTTTTGTTGTTGTCGTGATGTTTTTGAGTATTCCATTGTTTTTGCAAAACATTTAGTTTCCGACGTGAAAAGTCAGAAATAAGAGATTTTTGCTTTTTTTACCATCAACTTTACGATAAGGTGCCAATAGAACAAAAATAGAAAATTCTTCTGGTTCAACGAAAAAAGTGTTTCTAGTGTATCATATAGCTGAAAAATATTTTTGAGTATACAAATGTTTTTTTCTTTTTAGAAAACCTTTCTGTTGGTGGCAATATTTTTATTAACATTATGTAAAACAACATCTGCTTGTATAATATGGAATAGTAGTGATAGTGATATTTTCAGAATTCAATTGACTGCACATGATTCACCAATCATTAACCGTACGTGTTGCTCTGATTAGTTTTCAGTTTTGAAATTGTTTCACTGATTATTTTCTTATTAGGGGCTCTCGAATATGCACAGTCTCATCAGACATCTCCACAATTAAATGAATTTGGATTTGTTATTAAATTATCATCTGGAAGTCCAGATATACGTCTTAAAAATAATCAAGGTAGGATATTGATACCAACGATAATAATTACTTTTGACAATTTGTTATTTCTCGTTTTGCTCTAAATAGGCCAAGTTTCAGAGACTGGATATGAATGTCTTTTACAGCGAGAAAGCGATAAAAACATTAACATTAACAGAAAAAGAATACTCTCATCTGGTTTGTATCCATCTCTTCCTTCAAACGTTACAAGCTAATTTACAATTTATGTGTTTTTTCAATAACATCTGATTGAGCGTCTCCATCATATTCAACATCTTCTTCCAATGCGAGAACATGCATAAGAAACTACTACGTTTCTTTCTTGTCGTATTTGAATAATGACTTCTAATTTCGAAAAAAGATTTTTCTCCACCTGTACCATCGACTTTTATTTAACCAGGTTGGTTGGTCGACAGTTAAGTGCAATTAAACAACAATTTTGAATAGCCACCGACCAATGTAAAAAGCAGTTCGTTAACGTTTCTCAGTTCTTTTTGTTCTATTGAAGTTCAGTCATCTTTTATTTCGCAATAGAATATAGTGTAGTATTTTATTTTAACAACGAAAAAGTTTTAAGTTTTATCGATCAGCTCAATAAGTTAACTACATTCGTAGTCTCAGTCATCTTCGATGGAATATAAAACGGTGAGAGAACTGGACACTTCAGTAAAATCGTAACCTAAAGAATACATTCCATGTTCAGTTTAAAATGCTAGAGAATAATCACACCTAAATCTATTATCCTTTAGTCGTCTCTTCAGCTGGAGATCCAGTCCACTCCGTGCTTCCGTCATCACGTATGATAAAATATTTTCGACAGACTGCACCGGAATCAGATATAGTTCAAAAATCATCACCATCATTATCTCGTCCATTATCCGGTGATCGCCCCTCAAGTGGAGCAGCTAATACGAATCTTGCACAACAAACTATATTAAAGAAACCATCATCTAGTAATACAAAACATCCTCAATCAGGTAAGGCGCCGCTAATTCAAAAGAATTGCAAGTTCTTATTTTTCACTTAAAACTATATCATTCGATGCAAAATTTCACGGTGATTACGAATATCACCTTTTGAATTGATTTTGATCCAGTTTTGGG